AACATGAAAAAGGCCCCAAATATGTCTCCTTAGCAACCAAGGATTTCCGAAATGACGGAGGATAAGGCTGGACTGACAAAGGATGACTTCAAATCTAAACCCAAATGAGCAATGAGTGTGAAATAAGGTATGTTCATGTTATTAATGTAAACAGATAATGTATGTAACCCAAATCATATAAATATATGAATTTTTGAATTAGGACCTTAGAGACGTTAGTCAAGCCTTTCTCCTGTTGACAGTTGTCTTTTTTTTTACTTTCTTTATATTTCCTCCAATACATTTTCTATGAAAATTTCAGCTTATGTTCCTCTAAGCTTTGCTGTACTGTTGTCCCATTCAGGGCCAAATTTGGCATTGTCTTTTGAAAAGTTACAAATAGAACAAATGGTAGCCCCAGACCACTGATGGTTAATAAATCTATCTCAAAAAATAGGAGCAGGATGAAATAAGAGAGGAAGATGTAGGAGAGGGGAAATAGTCCCATCCCTGCCAGTTTGCTCGAATGCACACGTAAATACACACATGATGAGAAGCCAGCAGGTCAGCGGTGTTTGCCTGCTTTAATTATGAATCAATTTATGGCAGACATGTAGGCAGCACCCAGGTGCATCCTGGGAGGACAGCCTGTCACCAATCTGTCAGGTCAAGTCTGACATAGTTATGACACACTTTTAGTCACCTGTGTTTGTGTGTATGTGTGGGTGTATACAAGGACAGCCAGGTTATGCTATTCCATTTCTCCATGGGCCTAAAAACTTTTAAAGCCTTGAAACGACCACAAGTATCATCCTGAAACTTGCTACAGACTGACGTTCTCAAGACATGACGTGTTTCATAATCATGCTTTAAAAATTGTATTTAATTCTTAAGAACATGAGTCAATAATTTGTCTAAGGTCTTTGGTTCATGGCTGCAAGACTTGAAATAGACTAGACTAAATCCAAAACAAGTCCCTCAAACTTGGATCTAATATTGAATTATAGTTACCTATGAAGGAATGGCATAAGAAACGATTTTACAGCTTTCCAGTTATCAAAGATCAAGAATCCAATATGGTGACGAGTAGAGAAGCTTTGTAGTATATTTAAAAAACAAAGTTTTAAGCTGTGCTTTCCAAATGCAAACACCACTTTTACTATGTTCAGTTTAGATAATAGCCGCTTTGTATAGCATGGATTTTAGATGAATCACAGGATCTTGTAAATAAAATAAACATGTTACTGTTGTCATTATAAAAAGAGCTGCCATGTTGGGTCTAAATGTCCTTAAAAACATTTGTAAAAATTTGCGAACAGGTTTCTAATTTAAGGCAGGTGTTTCTTATAATTCTCCTGACTCAGAAAATGTTAACCCCAGGTTCTAACTGCAGCTTGACTAAACCAGTGCTCTAAGTACTTGCAGACAATGAGGTGAAAAAGTATGTGGGTATGTTCACTATGGGCTTTAGCTCTAACAGCTAAACTCAGCATTTCTGTTGCAATATTAGCTTGTGAAAGGATGATTTTTAGCCATAGTCTGTCAGCTATCCATATTTACGAGTACAAGTACGCTTTAGTCTCCTATTGACCGACTTAATGCCTCTCAAACTGAACAGATTAGCAAATAGTTGTATTAGACAAGATAAACTGTAATTTGATATTTGCTTGCTGTAAGGCAATGTGATTTCAAAACTGTTCATTTCTCCTCAAAGTAAAATGACTTCCTCATATTTATTAAAAGACTCCACATTTCTTAGTGTTCTTCGAAAGATTTGACACTAGAGGTTTTAAGTGTCATAAAAATGCTATCTGTGCTTACTCCTTTTTGCATGTTGATTTAACCTTTGAAGTTAATGTACGGTTGACATATAACCTTAATACAACATCCACAAAACATAAGTCATCCTGCTCCCAGTGTTTGTAATGACTATTGCAGAAAAACACAGCTCTGGGTCAGAAGCAACCAATTAGAGCCAGAAGGGAAGTCTAAGCAGTGTTCAATCATACTAATGTACGCCCTGTTTAAGCCCCTCTCCTTCTTTAAGCTCAAGATCTTCATAGTGCTACAGCTGTGCAATAATGTAAAGTATGTCACAAATTTTCTTCATCTGCCGGTGAATCTGTCACAGCTACCGTATTTTCACAACTATAAGGCGCATATAAATGTCTTTTTTTTCCTCAAAATGTGCGGCGCGCCCTATAGTGAGGTGCGCCCTATGTGTTACTGCGGACGTTGTTGAGACCGTCATGAGAACGTTAAAGGGGGAAGTGTGGGCGTGGATTGTGTATAAAAGAACAGGTATGTGCTTTATGCAGAACATTGTTGTAGTAACAACCCTGAAAATGGCAAAGAGACACACCTATGAGTGCAATTTTTCCATCCGGATGAGGACTACAGTAGCTCAGCAACATCCGGCGGATTATAATGAAAAGCTGGCGAGCTTCCACTCCTACTGCAGCAAACACATTGCTGACAAACGCATCCAGCCAAGCCACATCACCAACATGGACGAGGTGCCGCTCACTTTCGACATCCCGGTGAATCACACGGTGGAGAAGAAGGGGACCAGCACTGTAGCGATACACACAACGGGTTATGAAAAGGCGTCATTTACTGTTGTGCTTGGCTGCCACGCAAATGGACAGAAACTGCCGCCTATGGTGATTTTTAAGCGAAAGAATTTGCCTAAAGAGACTTTTCCAGCTGGAGTCGTTATTAAGGCAAATGACAGGGGCTGGATGGATGAGGAGATGATGAAAGAGTGGCTGAGGCAGGTGTATGTAATGAGACCAGGTGTTTTTTTCCACGCATCACCATCGCTGTTAATCTGTGACTCCATGCGTGCCCATCTCACAGCAGATGTAAAAAATATGGTGAAACAAATGAACGCTGTGCTCGCTGTTATTCCGGGAGGTCTGAAATGGGAACTTCAACCGCTCAACATCGGTGTGAACCGGCCGTTCAAAGTAAGGCTGCGAGCAGCGGAAGAGATGGACGACCGACGGAGACCACAGTTTCACAAAGGCAAGTTACGCCTCAGTTTGCGGATGGATTGTAGATGCTTGGACTAACGTGTCTGCTGGCTCTGTTGTTCAAGCTTTCGCAAAAGCCGGCATTATTTCTGAGGAGCAGCCCGGCACGGAAAATGACTCTGACAGCGAAGAAGGGGAAATTGGCATGTCTGATTTAGCGCAGCTGTTTAATTCAGAAACAGAGGATGATGACTTTGATGGGTTTGATTAATACTTTGTAATAAATACATGAATAAAGCACAATCATACTCAGTTTTGCTCCCGTTCTATTTTTAAATACACAGTAGAGGTATTTAAACTTAGTAGAGGATATGTACCTGTATATAAAACCCGCGCCCTATAGTCCGGTCTGCAGTCTGGACGTTAGATGTCGCTGAAAATTACACACTGTAGCTTTAAATACACTAATGGCACACATAACTGAGACTTTAGTACGGTGCGCCCTATGGTCGTGAAAATACAGTACGGTAGTTACCAAAGTTGAAGTATCAACTTGACCTCTTCACTCAAGTAAAAGTGAAAAAGTATGTGCTCCAAAAACTACTTGAAGTATAAAAGTATAAAGTAACCTTTAAATAAAACAGCCAGATACCACTATATGAACTGAAAGCTAAATTTTTCGACTATTGCAAAAAATTCTTTGAGATAGGGCCAAGGATGAGGGAGGTCTTGTTGGTCTCCATCTCCTGATACGCTCTCGCCTGTGTCCGACCTTTCAGACATTTCAACATCTTTTGCTAAATCCAACATTGTAGCACGGCATTGACAATTAACGTTTGCAGTTTTAAGAACACCTGCTTGCTTCTGATGATTTCCTTTAACTAACCAATGAGTGTTTGTGTTCTATGACTTATTCATTTACACTAGTTTTCACTAGATGTGGATGGAGCCAATGATCTGCATTGGATGGAGCACATGACATGAAATAAATATTTATAAACATTCAACTAAAGCCAAGAGTAACGAGTAACGTTTGTTTTAAAAATGCAAGGAATAGAAAGTACAGGTACTTGTGTGAAAATGTAATGAGTAGAAGTCAGAAGTAGGAAGAAAAATAAGCAGTGGAGTATAGATACCTAAAAAGTGTACTTAAGTATCTGTACTTTGTTACTTGACACCTCTGCATCTGCGTTCGCCATAACACTTCTATCAGCAAGAGAACTTGAAAGAGAAGGCAAGAAGCTTTCTAGCACAAATTCATTTAGCATTAGGATGTCCAGACGTTCTTGCCACTGGATAGGCACAGCCCCACTCATGGTGGTTTGCAAAAATACATTATTTATTCCTGTTTACTCTGTGTGACACGATAATGTACACAACTTCACGTTTTGGGTTTTAGTGTTTCAATTCAATTTCAACAGACAATTAAACCAGATATACAGTCAAATTGAGTAAAAGTTTTCTATCTAAACAAACCATCTGATTGCATCGACTCATTGACTCGAAGGCAATCCCTCACACCATGCATGAGTGTAAGTTTTTTTGTTGCTAGTTTTGTAATTTCACAAATGATCATTTATGTGTTCCTATCACTTAATGATTTCTGTAGACTGAAGACTGCCCTGATTAAACACAGCAGTCTGGAGTCGATTACTACCTTGATAGGGTTCTTACTGTTGACCCCGCCAAAGATGAAGAAACTGGAACAACGAGACACCATTTGAGGTTTTTGGAAGGAACCTTCATCTTTCTCCTTGAGCTGTCATCCATGTTTCGGGGTCCTTATGAAGCTTTTTGTTCACCAGTGTTCTCTAACACCTCTGAGACCTTCACACAACAGTCACACATATGCTAAAATTAAATTAAACAAAAGTCGCTGAACTCTTAACTAACAAAATTGTGGTTTGTTTGACAGGTTTTTTGTGAAGACATTCAGATTTTTTTCTTAAAAACCCATGAAACTGACTAAAGTTTCTGGATGTAAAATGGTAAAATGTCTACTTGGATCAAATCAAATGCTTAATGTAAAAAAACAGCCTGAAAACATTAGATTTTAAAATACTTTATTTCATAAACAATATCTAAATTCAACCTTTCTGGTCACATACATACACAGTAGATAGAAAATGCTCAAGTTATAAGATGAGAAAAGAAGAAGGGGGCCATTCCCTCCTGCGCCGCTACCACATAGAAGCACCTGGCAGGTGAAAGATGGTGGGCGAAGATCTGAAGAGCGGCCTGGTGGCTTGAAGGCTGAGCTACATGGAGATCCAGCATCAAACACCTTTTCTCGCTGATTCAGGTTCCAGCTGCTTTAAGTTATTTGAATGACTATCTGACAGTTTATCAGAGGAATCCTAAAAACGTCCCATAAACCCTGAAACATTTGCTGAAGCTGATTTTATATTATTCTTATTTTTTTTAAGTCAGTTTGGAAAAAGAATGTTTAGGCCATCAGCATATCATGAATACCAATGAATTAATATATTTAAATGATTAAATACAACATTTTGGTCCAAGAGAGCTAGAAAAGATTCACATTTTGTCCCTGTGTTCAGACAAGGCCGCGCACTTTACATGTTGGAAGACCTTCACCTGCGAAGCCAGAATATAATAAAACATCTCTACTGTCTGAAGCAGATATTGCCAGGATTGTGCAAGAGCAAGTTAACCATTTGTGCAAAGAGCATGTGTTTCTCTAAAACAAAATCTTCCACAGGATCCCATTTTTTCTTTTATTTGAAGTTTTCCCACAAAAGAACAACACTAAGACAACACTAAGGGGGCATTTGCCAAGTAGAATAACTTTCTCTGTCAACAAAACAGAAATGCCTTTTGATTAAAGAATACACCAAAATGCACACGTCACAAAAGCCATTAATGCAAAGTTTTAAAAGAAAATCCCACAGTTCCAGGACTGTGTTTGTGTTCTCCTGTGGAGGGGAGGCATACAGAACCATTTAATCCAATGCCTCAATCCTCCCCAAGCTCGCTCCTCTTTCTCTGAACAGTGTGATCCGTTGGCTTGCTGTTCCTGTGTCCTTCTCTGGGGTCTCTGAAGAAGCTACGGTGGGTGAGGTGAGAAGGACGACTGGTCTGGACAGTGCTTCATTGTGCTGTGCCTGAGACAAACTGTGCAAACGCTACTGTGCCGTATGTCCTCCAGGCTACCGCTGGCGCCGGTGTGCAGCAAACTTGGCGGCACAGCAGAGGAGGATGTGTCTTTGTATATATATGTATATAAATATGTTTTTATATGTGTGTGTATTACAAACGTAGCCAGGCAGTGAATAACTCGGGTCCTGCTGAGAGCAAACTGTAAACAACAGATTTAGTTCAAAGTTCTTCCTATACAGTCAAAGATGTGATGTCGTTTGGGTCTGGGCAATTCTGAAAAGAAGCTTCGGGTCCAGCTGAGTTTGTTTGGCTCCACGAAAAAAAAAAAAAACAGAAAAAATATAAGTTCCCTTTATTATGTTCTACTATCGCTCCTAAACCGTCATGGTCCGCAATATCCAACGTGTCTAGAGGCGTCAGCACTCGTCCCAGGATGCTAAGAAAGCAGTTGTTATGAGGTAACCAAGGAATAGATCATACTGCAACACAAGAAGAAGAAATGCAAACAGGAAGTGAGCCAAAAAACAATGGTTAGCCAGAAAAGCCCATGTTACATAAAAATATCCACATCGTTACCATATCTAGATATACAGGTGTTCCTATATGAATTCAGTGAACTAAAATCCTTCAACAGGGCAAAATATTTTTATTTTTTGTTATTCTCTGCATAAAAATGAAATCTACTCCGGAATGAAACCCCCTAATTTGACAACGACTTTATAACCTTGTTGCACTTAAGACACAATTTCAGCCTGTTTTTTTTTTTTTTTTTTTATCAATTACTTTATACAGTTTGTTAATATACATCTATTCCTGCATTTCAAATAAAATTAAACTTAAAAAACAGAGAGGGAGCAAATCAAAGTGAAATAAATGTAAGTATGGGCCCAAAAGCAATATTCAAAACTCTTTCAAACAAAGATGGATGGGAAATTTTGCTTTTGTCTATAGGGTGTTGTTTGCTTGCTTTAAAGCTCTGAAATCACCCAAATTTGAACGTTTCCTTTTAATTCTTTAATGTTTCTAAACCTTTTTTTTTTTATTTTTTATTTTTTTGAGGTTACATTTAGATGGAAAAGGTGGTCACTATGAAGTACTGCAATGGTCTTTTTCACACAGTAGGGACTGGGTCACTTCCTAAATTAAAGGGAAAGGCATTAAAACTTGGCCACAAATTGGACGTCTATATGGACATTGATTAATTGTTTAACGACAAAAAAGTAAATATTATGATAATCTTAGTTCTTAATTCTGAATAAACAAAGAAAGTATTTGTCTGATTTTAAGTCAGAGTTTGAAGGACAAGGAGCTTTATCGACCAAAGGTCTTATCTAACCCTTACCAAAACTAGGTATAGCTCAAGTTCATATTCACATATACAAAAGTATATACCCCAAGTTTACCAAGTTTATTGATGCTAGTAGACCAGAGGTTTACTAAAATATATACTAATTAGGAGAAAATTGGGACATTTAAGTTAACTTTAAAGTACACCTTAGGTATTTTTTCATGTATACTATCATTTACTCATTAAAGACACCCAAGTCTACTTATATTTTATGAGAGTGTACTTTCTAATAGGCTAGAACCTCTGGTCATACTAATGTGCACACATCTAAATCACCTGTAGACTTTTTTATACGTGAATATGAATTTTAAACCTTACATAGTTTTAGTAAAGTTACTAAAGGTACCCTGTACTATAGGTATGGGGCATATATACTAAGACTTGTAGTATGCTTAACGCATAAGCTGTCTAAAAGTAGCCTAAACTTAACTTAGTATATTGATAAGTGCATAAGAGGTAAACTGAAAGTATATTTGTTTATTTTAATTTTAAAATTAATACAATTTAATATAATTTAAATATATTGCTTGTTGGTGAGAGAAATCAGCCCAATGTATCAAAGTATATCAATGAGAAGTTGAGTGAAGTTGAGATAGAAAAGAAGCGCAGAGGCAGCTGGAAGAAATGCATCCATGAGATTCCTTTGAGACAAAGTGTGTTCAAGAGTTTAGAGGAGTTTCACAGTGAGGACTGCAGCTGATTTTAGTTACAGTAATGGAATCATTACACACAGATGTCTTTCAGGATATGGACTAAAGGCTCAACTTCTCTGTGTCAAACTCATCCAGAACCAGCGTCTTAGCCTGGATAAGAGGAAAAAGGAACTAGACTCCGCCTGTGGAGGGAAACTGGGGGTATCCACCCTGTTGGAGATTTATTGCGAAGGTTGTAGGTCTACTGTGCTTTATCAAGCCTAATATCCCTTCAGTCTACCTGGATGCTTTGGGGTCCATGGAGGACTCAGATCCTGCCAAAGTTAAGATTTTAAACAGGACAATGATCTTAACAGCATTAAAAAAAAGAAGAAGAAAAAAAAAGGATTTTGAAATAACTGAAGCAGATGGAAATTTTTGAACAATCCTCACCATAGCTAATCTCTGTAGGAACTTTTGGAACTACAAATGTTCTCTGGAGAATCAGGGAAAGAAATAACACAGTGATTCCAGTTTTGTAGGAATAGGTTCCAGTTTGAATGCAGGAATGTTTGTATATTAACAGTAAATTAAAGCTGAGGAGAAAAAAGATTAAATATTTCAAGATTCACCAAATGTGCTAATAAACAAATATATATATATTAATGTCTAACTTTCTGTCTGAATAAAGCTTTTTTTTTAAATGTGAAATACAACTTATATGATGTTAAAATATATGTTTTATTTTTACCTGAACAAAATGTTGTAAGTTTACATTTTTAGGTTTTTTACCATAACCTAGAAATGTAAGAACACTATCCTTCCTGGCAGGTTTGTCTGAGTGATTTTATGTTAGTTTTTATTGATATGATTGCCAGAAAAAGCCTGCGGAAAGCTTGCAAAATAAAAAGCAACAAGCCAATGAGCATCATGTAATGCAATGAGCATGTGCAAACAGAAGCTGTCAAACAGACATTTGCAGCAAAGTGGCTAAAATGATTTCACCACGTTTTAGTATCAGTAAATCAGTCCGTGACACGGATGAGTGTGACCCAGTGCATCGGAGCCGCCGCACTCACTGGGTGTTTACCTGGAAAACAGAAGAATGAGGGTCACAGCACAAAGATCCCACTTTGTGTTACTGAGCTGCTACTCAGTAACACAGGACAGGTCGGCGCCTCACCAGCAGACGCTACAAGTTTGGTTTGTGTCGTCCCAGGGGCCACTGCCAACTGATCCCCCCTGGGAGGAGGATGCCGGTTTCCACTGCTGGCTGATAAATATTCAGCGAACAGCCTGGTTTTTAGATTCCACTTCAACCTCATTAACCTCACCTTCATCTCCACCTCTAGCTTGTTAAATTAACCTCCTCCCTTTTTGCTAATTTTAGCTGAACACGCTACATTGGAAGCAGATCATGGTTGTTAAAGGAAAAGTTCGGTCATATTCAGAATACAAATTTCTGAAAGTCCTTTAAATATTAAATTATTACATACTTTTCAATAAATGATAACGTGTTTTTAATTAAGAGTAATTTTCATTTGAATGTGCTTTACTGGAGGCATCCATGTTTGTCAAAGAACACTACTGCCACCTACTGGTTTGTGACGTCACGGTGCGGTATTGGCTGTTGATCAAGTCCCAGTGCTGTATCTGGTGTTTGTGTTATAGTCCTGGCACTGGTGGCTGGATTGATTGCTCATTCCATCCACCTGTTTAACTCTGCCCATTTTCTCATTATTGCTTATCTGATCCACCTGTTTCCAGCTCCTATATATGCTGTTTGTTTTCAAGCTACCAATGCCAGATTATTAGAGCTGTTTAGTGAGAGTAACTCTAACGTTTTGATAATAGTTATGATATCTTGTTTGTGACCTATTTCTGTCTTGTCTATTAGGCTACGTTCACACAGCAGCCTGCAGTGACCCAAATCCGATTTTTTTTGCCCATTAGTGACCTAAATCTGATCTTTTCATGGCAGTCTGAACAACACAGATCCCATTTTTTCCAATAAGACCCAATGCGGCCACTTGGCTTTGTGGTCCTGAATCCGATACGAATCTTTTCAATTGCGACCTGTGTCTGAATGGCCAGGAAGGATTCATCCAACCCGAACGTCATTAATACCCGACAACGATCACTATTATGCGTCTTGCTACGCAGAAGTGGCAAGAAAAACAACAACCATGGGAGATGATGATGCAGAGAGCAGTATTTATGTTTAACCATATTGAAATTATTGTGTTTTTATGGTTGGATAAGACAGCTAGATCTGCGTCGGCACTACCATCCACGTTTATTTCTGGAAAATAAGAGCACGCTGGCCTGTGACGTCATTGCGTCCTCTACTGCGCATGCGGGACACTTGCGTTGTATGACTGCAGTTTACACAGCAGATCACATACAAGTCGCATATATTTGGAAATATGAATGGCAACGTAAAAAAAATCGGATTTCGCAAAAAAAATCGTAATTGAGCATCAAGGTCTGCTATGTGAACGTAGCCTTAGTCTTATCTGTTCTGGACTGTTTCCTGGATTCAACTGGCTTATCGCACCTGGACTGTTTTCCAAACCACGGCTTGGATTCCCTCATCGGTGCCTCATTGGCTCTCTGATCGTCTGGTTTATGAACTGAACTGAATGACTTCGGCTCAGATATTCTCTTCTGTACACAGCTGCTCCTTGGCATCGGTTGGCATCAGCTCCGCTCATCATCCTGAGCTCTAGGGGCATGCCCGTCACAAGCAAAGGACAATCTCCTCTTCCTCACATCCCTCTGGGATCGGACTGAACTCTGAACTAGGTCAAGTGTCTGTTTCTACAGAGGATCTGCTCTAACCGCTCCAGCTGACGAGCAGCCACACAGATTATTAATAAAGACTGTTTGAACTCATTCCGATCTGTTTGTTTGAATATTGGGTCCAAGGTTTCGAGCTTCTGACAGTTTTGTCACAACGCGTTATTATCCATGATGGTGACAACCAGTGCGCTATGCAAAGCAGGAATAATTAATTAATCAGATTTTTTTTCTTTGGCCAGAATTTCAATGGCAAATCCTCCCTCTTCAAGTTGTCAATCCAATGACGAACCCATCCGTGGAGGATCAGGAATCAGAAAGGAGAAATAACTCTTTTTTTTGTTCACTTTTACCCAAAGTATTCCGGCATCCAGCTGCCATGCACGTGGGCATTGTCAGTTTCACTATAGCTCTGGTGAATTTCAATGGTGAAGTCCTCTGGAATTCTTCAATAATTGTTGTTGATTGCAGATGTGTCTAGTAGTTCCTATTGATTCTGCTTGTAAAGCGAGGAGAATGGCGCTAGGCTTACCGTACTGTGACGTCACTGCTGGAAGAAGGCAGGAGGGAGGGGTTACTTTATTTGGGAAAAAAAAGGCCGCTCCCCGACTCACTGATCTCGACAAAAAATATATTTTTTTATTTTTTACTGATTAAGGCTAAATTCATTAATTCACAGCAAACATAGTTTTAGGTGTAGATAATGATCCATTGATTATTCCTTGCTGACCGGACTTTTCCTTTAAGCTGAAGACTCACAGACTTGGTGTTTTACAAATATTAAGATTTTAATATTCTACCTACTCAAATAGGATCCTATCCTTTTAAATCCTGCCAAAAGCTCTGTATAATATCAAGATTTAAAACGTTAGTTTTCTTTATTAAAAAAATACACTTTAATAGAAGAATTTAAATCCTGATTAAAACATAATAAAGACACTTAAAAAAATCAGTCTTCTTTGCATGAAGTTGAATTCTCTCAGTATTCTTGTTTACAGACACATGAGAATGCATCTTGTATCGTTCTCACTTTATGCTTTTAGGCGGGACATATAGCTGTGGCACAAAGTGAGAGCTGCAGAGCCCACAGCCAAACCAAAACAAAGATGGCAGCGTAGGAGGATGAAGCATAGCTGCTGCTATCTCTTGGTCAGAGCCCTCATTGCTTCTCTGAAACAGGAACAGGAAGAGCCTAAACATATAAGCTGCAGCTTCTAATGGCACTGGGTGTTGTTTTGCCCAATCAGCTCATGACGTTCTAATGAAACATCCCTCCTTTCCCTTTTCTTTTTTTCCAGCGTTTTACTGTCATTACACTGTCAGAAGTATGAACCATGGCCTCCTGCTTGCAGCACGGGTGACTTACAACTTGAGCTAGCCAGCCACAATCCCACTTACTGTCTAGTTACTATCTTGGATACTTTATAATGTCTGCCCAAAGTTGCCCCTAAACATAGATGGTTACCATTAATGAGCTATTCTATAAACACATTGAGGTCTAATTTTTTTATCCCCTTCCCCCAGAATAATACCTTTAAACATTTAAAGCTTATTTTCCTAGTTTCTAGCCTCTCTACAAACACTGGCTTTAGATAGAGCGTGAAATGTGGAAACTTGATGTCAGGTTAATCAGATTAAATAGAACTGATGGTAGGTGAAGACAAAATAAGACCTAATCCTGAGACTAAAGCGGTTTCATTACGGGTTATACCAGCTTTGTTTATTTTAAAATATATTCAGAACAACTGATTGTCTGTTTTTTGTTTTTGTTTTTTTTTGCCGGGTTGTAGGTTAACTCTTACAGTTTTTAAAGGATTTTTCTGCTCGTTTTATTAATTTTGTTTGTTTCGACTTTAACAAGGGTGTGGACTTTTGGGAGCAGATATATTAATTCACTTCACATGACACCTTGTTAGACAGCTATGCTTTGTGTTTGTAGGATGGTCCCTGGTATTAGAAGCATGATTAGACAAGACATCAGTTTTAAAGATGTGTAGCTGATATCAGGTCCTATCAAATATTGATTTTTAACAGTCTGACTTTTATCAGAGAACGGTTTTAGCTCAGCTTTCAGATTCTCCCCAGTGAATCATCTTAAGGTGACGCTCCAGCATGTGTATAAGAGAGGAGTCGATGGAAATTTAGAAAGTGTTTTTAAGATCATGTCATAGTGATCTGTGTGAGAACCCTGACCTTTACTCAAAGATCATCCAGTATGTTTTATAACAGCCAACTTTGCTGTGATTCCCTCTGATTATGCAGCCAGGATGAAATAAATAAGGTGTAGAAAATGGCTTATAGAAGTCTCTATCTGTGCTACTTTCTTGATTTTAGCATTCAAATCTAGTAACTCGTCATCTCTAAGCTCATTACCCTGATAAAGCTTTGAAGAAAGATAGGAGCTTAATCCACAGCAGAATAACAACTTTTTTTTAATTACTTCTGACAAAATCAGATCTTTTTTGTCTGATAATTCCAGCAGTATTTAGTTTGATATTTTGCTTGATATTTTAGGATAAAAATGCTTTTTTCTAAAACACAAATCATCCACATTTAGTGCCTGTGCACAGCGAACATCCCTGTTAGTGTTTTAGAGCTGACAGGGAATCCAATAGAGCTTCTCCATTTATTATACTAACACACATTAATTAGGACTCATCTCTCTCTTGATTTTCTGTGTGGGTTGTAATTTTACTTATTGTAATTATTTTATTCTGTCCTATTATATTATATTTAATTTTCCTCTATTATACTTCTATAAATAGGTGCACTGTAGGAAAAAAAATTCCCACAATGCATGGGTGTAGGTTTGCATAGGGACCAGTCCCTACCAACATTTTGGACCGACCTACTTGTCCCTAACAATAGTAATGGCAAGTTTATAATTTACAATACAGTGGCTTCTTTTCCTCCCGCAGCTCTGCGGCCTGGTAGCTGCTTTCGCTCCGTCTGAATGCCTGCCTGGTCTTTCCTGTCCCTTTAAATTAGGAGTGCAGTGCTGTGCTGTTTAACTCCGCTCTCCTTGGTTGTTCTGCCTTAAGTTCCGCCTTTTCTCTTCCTGTCTGGTTGTTTTCTAAGTTCTAAGGATCAATGATATCAGACCAATGAAACTTACGTTAGTGTCCTTACCAAAGTTGAAATCAAACGCCACTGCTGCGATGGATCAATAAAGTAATTCTGATTCTGAAGAGGATTATGTTAATGTGAGGCAGAACTTTGATTTTTCAATTCAATTCATTTTTTCTATAGCACCAATCAGAACACGTCATCTCAAGATACTTTACAATTCAACAAGATCATACAGTAAAATTGATTTAAAGTTTTCTATCTAAGGAAAAACAGTTGATTGTATCGACTCATTGACTCGGATGCAATCCCTCACACCAAGCATGCTTGTAGCGACAGTGGAGAGGAAAAACTCCCTTTTAACAGGAAGAAACCTCGAGCAGAACCAGGCTCAGTGTGAGCGGCCATCTGCTGAGGTTGACAGGTTTTTACAAACATGCTCTGTTTGAAGCTCAGAATCTTAAAAAAGAAGCTTTTAGAATAAATGTTGAGAAAAGACTCAATATGCTGAACCGTATGAAACATCACAAAGAAAAGAGAATAATCCTCCTTCTTTTTCAAAGTATAACGTCACAAAGTTGCTACATTGAAAATTTTTAGAACAAAACTGATAAAAAGTAAATTTAGATTCTGCAAATCAAACATATTTGCACAACCATTTGAAAAAGATACTGTTCTTTATTTTGTATTGTTAGCATAACAATATCTTCTGTATTTTATTGGTCCAAGTGTATTTATTTATATATTTCTAGGGATTCTTTAAATAGGATATATGTGATATATATTTCCAGCGTACACATTGAAAACTTACATTTTCTACTGTCTTTCTTTTTCATTCAATATTACATGTTAGATACGACTATTCTAACTGATAAATGTTATGCAGAAAAAAAAACATTCAGAACCATAACTGAACATGGTGCTCTTTTTATACCCACAATCCCAACCTGCAATTAAACACTAAAACTGTCAGACGCATGTCAGATAAAGCTGTTAAGCCGCTTTAAAATATTTCCTGTAAGCCTCTCTGCTTTGCTGACAGATGTGGCATATTTCATGTCCCATTAGCATCCAACATCTGTCCTCCGGAGTAAATGAAACCAGGTTAACTTCATGTGAAGGTGTAATATATCACTGAAAAACTGTCCTGACAGTTCATGCCATGGAATGATAGGAAGAAAAGAGGAGGATTATAGGTCTGCTGTACATCCGTCAACATGCTCAAGAAGTGACAGAAAGCCTGTGCTCATCTCTTTAGGAGGGAAAAGTGTTGGTGACTGAAGTAGAGGACATTCCAGGCAGCATCCCTGTGACAAAAAGGACAGGAGGAGAGAAGGAGGGGGACAGATCATACTCCCAGGGGTGCTCCAAGCATATCAGCAGGCAGGTTTTTGTTGCTCATTTTAAACATACTTAAAGGTGTTAAGGTAAGGTTAAGCAATCTCTTTTCTGCAATAAGCTGTCAGGGTAAGTCGTGGGGGTTCAAATGGAGCTGTGTGCTCCTCTGTGCAAGTAAAAACCACCATGTAAGTGAGAAGGAGGTCGGGGGAGCAGGTGAGTTGGTGAGAAAACAGACACAAGCCCAAAGGAGCAGGTTTCAGGCTGCTTCACTTCCAGTTCAATCACATCCATCAGTGTTTAACCATGACCATCAGCAGAGCTCAGGACATCTTCCTTTCTTAATCTTATACTAGTCATGAATATTTTCTTTCATTAGAACAGTGAGCTTAGGCGGGAGTCAAATGTTTATAGCCAATGTTTTCTAAGATTTTGAAGAACACAAAATGTAACCAACTTTAATTTCCCCATATATTTTGTTTTTACTACTAAAATAACTTATTTTAAATTAATATATGTTAATATGGTTTTATCTATAGAGGCATCTTCTCTCAACATCCTGGAAACTTCAATCACGTCTGGCCGTTCCAACATCCATGAACTAACAGTATAATCAAAGCTGATTTTCTAAGGTTAAAATAAACGTGTTTCTGCTGGTCGGTACACTGCTGCTAAAATTCAATGTCGGAAATATTGTATGCAGGTGAGGATTCTCATCATCCAGGTCACGTGGTATGTCACCAAATGGCCAGAGCCAGTTTAAGTGTGAGTGGATTGGGTTGCCTCAAAGGTGGAGCGATACCGGTGGAGCGATACCGGCTAGAAATATTCGGTTCTCCTCCACACATCGCCTGGACTCTGGAACCAAACTCTTTGAGAGAGGCTGGACTCTCTTCTATGAGAATTTTACAAGCAGTTACCTTCATTGTTCAACCCCAACTCTTAGCTATAAAACTGAATAATTTCCACCTACTCCTGATCTTTATGCAGAAATTAAAGCCTTATGATGGATATATGGTGTTAAGGATGCTTTCTTTGGCCAGTTTGTTACCACAAAAAACACAAGTCAATAACAATAAACAATAAATAAAAGGAGGGGACTAAGATGAACTTGATGGAACTGAAAGTGAATGCACCATCACCTCATGCTCAAGAATACCTGACAGTTGCTGCTGCTGCCACCGTTGCTCTCTAAAACAGTCCAACATGAGCCGGAGCCGGGCGGGATGGGGTGAGATGGAGAAGCAAGATGGTTTCAGTTTAAGCTGAGTGCTGCATTTAAAGCTGATGAACTAAACACACATTGTCTTGGAAAACAAATATTAACTGTAGAGATAGCACCGCCACTGGTGTTTCAGAGTTACACTGAGCAACAGGTTTTATTGTTTTCATTCATGACGATGGTGACACCTCACAAGATCACTTCATGTCCACTAAAAGTTCGTCTAGTGATTGATGGGTGGAAAGAAATGGATGAGACCAAATGAGCTCAACACGTTCGCTTAATGAAGCAGTTTCTAAGGTTTCTGCCAGTATACCATGCCAGGAAGAAACTCCTTAACTTTGACCTTTACTTTTATTGACTGATGTCACATTTGCAAAGACTTGTTTGCTTGGCATATACAACTGAAAGCCCATGATTTTACACAAACAATGAAATCAGACACTCTATCTCTTATTTAATTAGAATAAACACTTTATCATTTTTTTGATCGGTTAGGATTGGCTAATTATTTCTTTTATAAAATGCCAGAATAATGAGAGGAAGAGTTCCTAGCAGTGATAGGTAAGTTTAACGGTTAACAAGCATTTGATTAGTGCTTTTATCAGGATAATACAATTTAAAACTGGATACCAAGGAAGAGAATTGATACTCAAAAACTGCTTTTGATTCCACAGGGATCCGAATAGTTAAAGGCATACAAAATGTATTTTTACATGAAAATCTCACAACTTTCAATCTCCACATGCAACATGCTTTCTCAGAAGAGCCCCAGATGCTATTTAAATAAGTTTGCACTTAAATGCTAATCAGATTATCCAAAACATCGTGCAATTCGACAACTTTTTAAGGTTTCCCAAGTCTTTTAATATGCAGAAATCTCCAATTAACCATAGAAAAATATGCCAAAATCCCTCGTCTTTTGTATCGATACTTTTCCAAATGAGTATTACATCCAAATACAACTTTTGACTACCAATAATTTTTATAGTATCAATATTCAATAATCAATAATATTTTTTAAACTTGATTCACTTCCTTTAACCATCTTCCTATAAGTATCTCACAATAGTTAGCTTGATGACCCATTCATCCCCACATAACTGGGATTAGGTTTGGGTCAGAACCTCCAAAATATTGAGACTCTTGTTCTTTAACTATTTTGCTATTAATCTAATGAGCTTAAAGAGACCCAGGCGTGCATTTTGCACAAAGCAAAAACACACAAAAAAACTAATATTCATGTGAAAAAACCACTATGCCTCCTGACAGTGTTTAGTTAGTCCTTTTTGAGCTTAAAAGTCATTTTTGATCTGGGTGGGACCAGTTAAGATAAGCATTGTTGTACTCTCTTCCCGTCTGCTGGCAGTTCTTACTTAAACTGACCACTCAGACCGATACAGTAGTAGCCATTCAAACATTTTTTTTATTCTTTCTCTCATGATTTGTGGACGTTAACATCCACAGAGAATCGCCATCTAATGGTCACACCCTGTAATTCAGTGAAAGGGCGGAGTCAGAGTAAAAAAAATATGCAAGAGGGGGTCAATTCAGTGGCTGGAAGTATGAGGTATTTTGCTAAGAGTTGCAGGGAAGTGGGCTGCCATTCGGCTGGTGTTTTGGGAAGGGCCATTTTGAATGGCTGCTACTGTAGGCTGCATATCTTATACATATTAACTGTAATGGTTAGATAGAAATGCTGTAATATTATGGAAATTTCTGTTATAAGCATAACTCCCGTGCTGTGATTGGTCCAATTTTAGACAAGATGTCAGCCTGTCTGACGTGGCTAGCACTTAATAACACAACCATCACATTAGCAGCTTAACTCCAGTTACAGTGGATGCTGTGCGACTGTGGTGTGGTCACCACAAGAACTCAAATCATTAAAATCGAAATGTAAACTCACATCGATTTTAATGTGGCTGAGCACAGTGTTCAGTGAGAGTGTTTTTTTGTAAAACCATAGCCACACCATTGTCACTTTGACCTTGGGGTCCCCTCTCACTTCAGTCAACATGAATGTTTATATCATATTCTGACCGATACTCGTCTCTTTTCTGTCTTGGTGTCCAAAAAGGGCTTCAAGAGAGATATCGGCACAGAAATCTAAAATCTTATTAAAATATTTTTTTTAAGTAAAGAAAATCTTTTTTTTTAATATATACTACTTATATTTAATTGTTTTTATGTTATTGTTACAAATTTCGTTTCATTAAATGTATTATGTTTTATATTTTCAAATGCTACATTGTAGAAATTTTTCCAATTTTACTAACTGCATAATTTTTATATTGCATTTTCTAGCTTGCTTTCTTCTGGAAGGAAGAATAAAGACACATCTGTATCGATTTGCCAGGAAATTGGCAAAAATATTTTTATTGGTCAAACGTGTGTTTGGGCTTGAAGTGAGTAGAATGTGATCTGTAAAATGTAATTTGAATAGAATGCAATTTGTAAACCTAAATCTAAAGAATAGAAATAAACAGTTTGAAAGAATAAATTTTGAACAACAACATAAAAAAGTTAAAGATGACAAAAATGTTATTAAAAAAAGATATTTTTCTATGTTTCTATAGTTTCTATGTTTTCTTTACAATTTCTAATTATAAAACGTCCAACAATAAATAAAAATTTCCCTTAAGATTACTGTTAATTTGAAAGAACAGAAAAGGCGTGGAAGAAGACACTCTCTACCGATTTCAGTCTTTGCTGTGTTCTGTTGTGAAGGAAAATGTTAGACTGCATTCAGTTGACTTTACTGAAGTCCAACTTTAAATTCCCCTCCAAAAAAGTGATTTAAGTTATCAAATATTTATTTAGGATTAGTATAAAAAAAAGTGAAGAGAACCAAATTCTGCTCACTAAATGTCTTTTAATAACCTGAATATTGAGTGCAGATGCAAAAACATTGTATCAACACCCAAGATATCTCACACTGTATTACAACACAGTAATATGTGTGTTTGTAAACTTCTGATGTTTCTTTTTCATTATTCTGGCATTTAATCCCTGCTAGATTTTCTGTTTTGTTTTCCAAATGAGTGTCTGAAGATACTTAGTTTTTGAATTATCCAATATGCTATCATCCAACAATATATGAACACACTAAAGTGAAAACAGTTTCAGAATTTCCTTTTGTATAGTACCTCCAAAATGAATATCACAGATATAAAAAAGTAAGGATTGTACCTTTAAGTGATTCCACTGTTAAGATCTAATAGAGGGATATTTCCAGGTTCCACACACTGCAGCACCCACATGACACATGGGACAGGAATCCGGAGTGATTAATAACAGCATTGTTAGACATAGAGAGGAGAACTGTGCGGATTATCATCATCACAGAATAAACAGACAATTTTAGCAGAAATATAAAAAACGAATAAATAAATAAAAATCTTTCACTGTACAGAACAAAACCATTAACATTTTAAGAAGATTAAGCAAAGAAATTCATATTTCCTGTCGTTGCTGGTGGTGCTTGTCAATGAAGTAAAGAATCAAATTCTCTTAATATCACATGCATTAGCAGTAGTGGATGGAAAAGAAAGCTGTTCTACCCTGACTAAACTTGCTGGACACAGAGGAAATAGCATGTGATTGCAAGAGAAATGGTTACTTTATTCAGAGATTTGCACACTTTCCTTTTGAGCCGGAGAACCAAACCAAACCTGTTTGTTGAGTGGTGGCAGATGTCACCATCCAAGCTTTTCCTCTTCAATGACTTAGATTACTCAGCAAGGTTTTCAAACCTTCAACATTAATAATGTACCTCCACATCAAAGGAATGTGTTAGTAGGTCACACCACCCGCCCCGCCCTGTGCTTACCAGTAGAGATAGTAGAAGAAGGACAGGACAAAGAAGGACAGCTTGCACCACGCCTCCTTTTGGCAGAACTTGAGCGTGTCGCCATTCATCACAGATGCTGGGTCATAGATGAGCTCCTTAGTGTCCGTTGGGGAATGGAAGTACCTGCCGCAGAGGGCAAAGACCACACCCCGGGTAGTTGACCCGTTCCAGAGCACAAGGAATGGTGTTGGTGGGATAGATGGGACAGGGGTTGGGAGGGAAACGGGGAGGAAGACAGTGTGGAAGACATGGAATGATGAATCTGGTGGAATGTCATCATGCATGTAATGACAAAAACAGTGCATGGTGGAAAAGAAGTATTGACAATGGAATGGTAATCATTTAGGTTTTCAGTAATGATTAAATTGATGATGCCCAGCCAGACATGGGCAATGTGGAGTCAACAAGTCATCTCCATGTCATGTATTTAATCTACCCAGCCAATTAACCAGGTGAGTCCAATCTGCACAGGTTAATTCACGGTGAAGATTGGACTCACCTGCTTCAGTGGCTGGGTAGAACAAATACATGACATGGAGATGACTTGTTGACTCCACATTGCCCATGTCTGGGCCCAGGTTAGGACAAGTTATTTTTCACATTCACCTCAGTGGTTTTGGACATCAAGTGTTTCTCCCCTAAATCAGGCTCAGGGAGCATCTATTCACACAAAGTCTACATGAGGAATCAATCACATATGTCAAAACTAATAGTTTGTTTGATTTAACTCATACCATGCTGAGTAGAACAACTCTTTTCAGTAGACCAACTAGACATAATTATGCCAAAATAAAAATATGCTGGCACAAAATCAAACAATTTAGAGCCATATCTGAACAGTAACTTCCGTGTGAAGATGATTGTATCAATTCTATCTTAAAATGGATGTTCTTCAACTACTGGGACTGAGTTCTGTGCAGTGTGACGTAGATAATCACTTCAGTTCACTGTCAAGCTTTTAGACTGCTGAGTTGAGTGAATTTTTATATACTGGCAGAATTTTCCTTTGTGGTGAAGCACCAGAAGGGATCTTGTTTTTGAGTCATTTTGAGTCACAGTTGGGTTGATGCTTTCGCAGGAGTTATACGCGTCCGGCACTCCTGTCTGGTCACTGAACGCTGTATACTATACTGTAAAGTATATTTTATCTCCCTAAGTTGAACAACACTGTATGATCTAAAATAAAGTGACAAATAAGCAAATGCTACAATTAATTAATAATGCTGCCCATAAAATATCTTCTTGTTAATGGGTCAATAACACAGCCAACTGTGAAATATCAATAGGAATCTGTGCTTTCAGATTAATTAACAGCTTTTAGATTCCGATGACATATATATCCATATACATATATCAGCAGTGGAGGGAAAAACCTGGAAGCCTGTAAGTTGAAGAAAAGTGTTGAATAAAGTCTGCAGGGACTTCGTTTGGATGGCATTCAATTGGCATTGATCTTTGAGTTTCTTTTAAGCTCACAGGGATTTAAATGAACATGAACCATTCTGGTCAAAGGGACCATGGAGTTGGTGGAATGCCTCATGATTTCATGCTTCTGAAACACATTTATATGTAGTTTCCAGAATAAAATTCTAATTCACTCAAATTTTAAGATTGAATAATGAAAATGTATTTTTGTAACACTCAGATTTTATCTAAGTTTGTGAAACTTTTTCTAACACCAGAATCTTATTGAGCAAAACATCACCAACATCACTATTCTCAAGGTTGGTTTGGGAGCTTGATTTATATTAACGATGACTTTCAAGTTGATATTGTACCGTGTTTGCCTGCAGGTAAGTAACTCACATTGAAACCAAGGTCCAGCCGTGAGGCTCTTTATATATGCAATTCAAAAAAACTAGGAAATGTTTGTTCACTTATATATATTATAGTATAAAAGCTTTCTCAAGCAGTTGGTGATGCATTTTGGAAACAGGAGATGAGCCCCTGGCTTGAGAAACCTGTTCAAAGACTTATTTTTCTTATTATATAGTAGCACACACATATCATCTTTAACTTATTTTATTCTTATCCTATTGTATTCTTATATCGTATTTGTACGAAAATTCAATGGAGCCATTTTGATGTACCGCAGATTAATCTACATTAATTCCAAGATATTTATTAAATAATGTATATATATATATATATATACACACACATATATATTAATATATATACATATATATTAAAAAAAATCCCAATTTGTAGAAAACTGAACCTCACATTGCCAACAAAAGCTGTAGGGCACAATATTGCCACAGCAATGTTCATTAGAGCCATCACATTACGATGAGATCAATTCCAGCAGGGATGTTTAAATTGTAAGACAAAATGTGCCAAGTGGGAAATTACAGAAGAAGAGGGAATTGCTACTATTGCATGTTGCTTAGGGAAAGAGACCTTCTAAATGCTAAACACACAATTACTAATTTACTAAATTTCTAGTTATTTCATTTGACAGCTGATTCAAGTAAAAGAGATTCAAATAAAATGCATAATTCTGTCAACACAGAAGAAGAAGCGTGTAATAAGCACACTATTATTGTGGTTATTTATCAATCAGTAATTGTTTTAAGTACTGCACCTGTACCTGCACTAAATCCCAAGCAATAAGCTTTCAAGATACAATTAGACTCATGTCTGTTTTTAATGTATAGTAACTCAAGTTAAATGTCTACAGCACAAATAGAGTTTAATCGATAACAATGTCCATGCGTATTTTATGTTCTCTTGTCAGAGTTTTTTGCACCCTCAAGCAGATATGAAATGTCAGACATTATGCTGTATGATACATTGTTATGAAAATGTTCAGTGATGTACGTCCCATGTATTCCTACATAAAATACATGCAAAATGACTGATGAAGAGGCAGAAGAGGTAAACGGGTGAACAACATTTGCAACAAGCTGCTTAAATTAGGTTATATATCAAAATAACTTTTGGCATAGCAGAAGAAGAGAACAATATGATTAAACATTTTAGAAATAACCCCACTAACAAGATCACAGTGAACAAGATCATTTCATAAACAACAATTTTATACTAAATTATATTGGAATCTCAATAATTGTCTCCAGAGAACTAAGTCAAATGTGGTGAACCTGTAGTTTGGTATAAACTATTCCATTAAATGTATCATTAGTCCAATCTTGCCATGCAGGTCTACTAAGTTACAAGAAAGTCTAACACTTTGTGTATCATATAAAGTAGCAAATATTAAGTATAGATGGTTCACTCGGCTCCTCTGATGACATGTTGCTGCTTCTTACTCTGGCATACAAATATACAAAGATGTGAGAGTGCCCAAAAAATATAGGTTATGACACCTTGGTCTAAAGATGCCACTCAGCAGCTGACTAGCAATTGGATATTTTTTGGTACAATGACAATGAGGTATTCTTGGCTACATCTGACACAGTGTCAATGCTGTCACAGTGGACAGGGACATCCTGGTGTTTCCCAACCAGAAGCTCTGAATGTACAGGGAGCTCAAGGAACTGCTGAATCACAAGCAGAGCCCTACTGTACCATCCGTCCTGCCACAGACAGACCATCACTGTACAGGTACTGGAAGTGTTGAGAACCCTGAAGGACGTGAACCCCTGAAAAACTGCTGGACCTGATGGTGTGACAGGGAGGGAGCTGAGGGACTGTGCAGACCAGGTAGCTGGGGTTTTTACCACCATATTTAGTAGTGATTAACACAGTATTCCAGCCCTCCATGCTTAAAGCCATCCACTATCACCCCTTTGCTCAAAAAACAAAGGCACTGTGACTACCACCAGTTGCGCTTACCCCCATATCTATCAGAAAGTGCCTTGAGAAATGGGTTCGGAGTCACATCACTTCACATCTGCCACCCAGCCTCCTCCTGCACCAGTTGGTCTACAGAACCAATCAGTCTACAGGGCATGCCATCTCGGTTGCTCGGCACACCACATTGAGACATGTGAAGCGAAATGGAAGCTATGCGAGACTGCACTTCCTTGACTTTAACTCGGCTTTTAACATAATCATTCTAAGTTGGTTTGTGAGCAAGCTGGAGAAACCTGGGTCTCTCCCAAAACATCTCCAGCTGAATCATGGAGTTCCAGATAAATCACTCCCAAAGGGTGATAGTAGGATCCAAGCTGTCAATAGATCTGAGCGCTACATTTCCAAGAATGATGTCTATCAATTTAGGCTGCTCTGGTTATTTATCAAATTTAAGGGATCTTGGCTCAGTTAAAGAGGCCTCTTGCCTGATACAGTTGAGGAAAGGTCATAGAAAAAGATTTTTCAACAACAAAACAACCCCACACACTGCAGGATGCTGGAGCATATTTTGTACCAGACTAAAAAGGTAAATTACATATTAAGGACTTTAAACGACTACAAGACAATATAGAGAACATCATTAAACTGAGGATACCATTATCAGTAAACTGAGAAGCTTGTTCAAAGACAACTCTGTGGCTTGACAAGCGTAACACCAATAGATCTACTAATTCCTCTTTGCCTTAGCTTCAGACTGATCAGCTCTACTCTCGGTACACTCTATCTAGGTATCTACTTTGAGAATCTATATTTTGTGAAAAGCTATGATGCCAAACTCATAGAAACAGCAATACAGAGGCGAAGGGGTAGTTTTTAAATTGAAGCGGAGAAGAGTAGAATGCCTTATAATCCCTAGAAGATGGATCATACAACACCAAACCCAAAGGTTTTCTACTCATCCAAATACACACAAATTGTACAACTGTTCTTTGATGTTGCAAAACAAAGTTCTGCTTAGATATGTTAAGAACAAGGAGATAGAGACCCCATGAATGGTCTGGGAGAACAAAATGATGTTATTTTGTCCTCACGGCTTTGAGAGGGAGAAAACAAAAGCTTGTAGAGTGCATAACAACCTTTGTAACATCCTTTACAAGGGAACAGAGAATGGCGGGCAGTACAAGAGGTAGTAGTCTGGATCTTCTTATGATATACTTTATCTAAGTCATCTACTCTAAATCTAGTCTAATCTCTAGCCAATCAAATCCCTGGGCCTTAATACAAGTTCTTTCAGAATAACAGCAGGAATGTAGTCTTTTCCGAGGTCTCAGAAATTCCAAGAGGAGAGGTAGCAACATACCTCGACCCACCTCTATCTAGACTTTGCAGGTAATTTTATACATGTTCGGTGGATGTGGCTTCAGTTCTTGCTTCGTGGACCTTTGAGAAAGCTGGAAGAGCAGAACGACCTTGCAGCTGTATCTCAAAGTACTAATCTGAATATAGCATCAAGTTTCGGATTTTATCTTATTTTTCTATTAAGAACTGTTCTTTGGAACAAAACCTTATAATAAACATTTGCAGGTGTCGGGCACAGATATACAACCCCGGATATACAACCTCTCAATATGGTACCCTCGATCTGAGAATTGTCTTGTCGATGTTGCCTCTCTCCCACATCAAGCTTTCTATCTTTTCGTCTGCTGATGCCCCTCGCTCGTATCATGCCTTCCTTGGTCTCCGCCTTCCAGCCTCCATTTTTTCTTACTATTCTCCTCTCTTCTCCCAGCTGCTGCATCTGTAGCCAGTGGGCATCTGGCACAGTTTGCAGTTAATGAGACAGCAAGATGTTTTCCTCTCCTCATGTTTTATTTTATTTTATTTTTTTGTCTGAGTCTCAACTAGTGAAGCACATGAGCTTTAATCAATCAGACTTCCAGTAGCGCATGTCTAACCCCCTGACCAATGGAGATGGACACAGATAAAGAGGGAGCATCACACATATGGAAATCATAGCTGTTTAGTTTGTAAATTGACATTTTCAATGTCTAACAATGTCAGCTCATTTCAATTCTTTAACTGTCCTCAAAAATAATGTGGAAACAGTAGGCAGACCTTAACCACAGTGTCTGAAGGTAATCCAGAGAATTTAATTGTGCTAATGCTGTGTTACCAAGAAAAACACAGTGCCCTGCTGATACCTCTTGAATTTTTTTTTACCCTTTCTTACACGTCAGAACCAAACATTTGTATTTAATTGGAAATCTACTAGACAGAGTAGTGCACTAGTAAGTGGAGTAGGAGGAAATGGATTTTCATGTCTCCCAGGGTTTAACAACTTTGGACATTTAAAGGTTGAATATTTTGGTCTATTCTGTTTGCATTAAAGCTCCAGCTCATTCAGAGTGGGTGAACGGAGCACATGGAAATTTATCTTCAAGTATTGCCACAGAATCTAAACTGGACTTTAACAGGGTCATTCTTAACACAAGGATATGATTTGATTGTCTAATTATGTTAAATACAGCAAACCTAGGGTCGCTGTTGTGCGTGAAGGTGACCTCCATCCCACCTTAAATCAGTTTTCAGGCCTTAAATAGTTTTTTTTTTTACTTGTCCGTCTTTTTCTAAATTATGACTGGATTCCCTGACCCTGCTGTAGAAAAGCATTTCCACAGCATGATATTGCAACTGCAGGTATGTTCCACAACACATCTATGCCTAAAAGACTGATCTCTGCTAATCAGAGTAACTTTAACCTGTCTGCTGTGTCTCCTAGTTGGTTTTCACAAACTTCCTGCAGGACTTCTCTTGATTCATGCATGTCTGAATAATCATAGTCAATTATGCTCTCCTAGCAGTACTTATAGTACTCATGGAAAATGAGTGTCCATTACTTTTCTATGTAGAGGAGTGATTCTACGCCACCTCCAGGAAGCAATTACCTTGACCGTGCTGCACCTGCCCAGTAAACAACACACCCACTTTCTATGATTAGCAAGGATTGATGTGAGGCAGAGAACCATCATTTCTGCCCAAAGTTAAGACAAAGTGGGTATTATAGCAGCTCTGCATATTGACAGCAACTGCACTTGTGTGTGATGTGTTCACATCGAATCTTTTTTGTCAAAAATGCTTATAAGCCGAAAGTTGGACACCGGGTCAAACACTGTTCAAGATGATTTGAACTTCTGAAATGTGCCTTGCCAAGTTGACTTTGGAAGACTTAAAATACTTTCTTAGTCATTTGAGAAAGACAGAGGGTCAGGAATGCTTTTGGACTGGCCGCTGATAAACTTGTGTTTTCAGAGGAAAGGATTAATGAGACATCATGCTTTAGTTTTATGTAGAAATTCGGATCTTTGTCATTATTATATAAATCCCAAGCTTTAAAATAACCCTAAAAAGCAGAAAGGGAAAAATTGCACTCCTACGCAGATGATTGTAATCACAGAAGACAAAGACTCCATAGTTACCTCCATGTGTTGTAGAAGAGGAGGGGGATGTTAAGGCCGACAGTCAGCCACTCCTGGGCACACAGGAACATTATGCAGAACAGCCCATGGATGGAGTATTCTGGCAGCACCAACTGTAGGGCAGGAGCAAATTACAGGGAGAATTACTGTACGGTTGGAGTGAAAAAGAAATACATTAACTCATAATTATTGCCTGTGGCAGATGCTCTTCTGTTCACCTTCACAGTAACACCAATAGAAAAGCCAGGTCACAACTTAGCAGTTCATGGAGTTCATGTGTGAACTTCAAACCTCTCATTAAGCACACATTTATTCACCTGACAAGACCAGGTATGGTGTGTGGGGGGTTAGTAGGCAGTGGGGTTGACCTGTTAAGTATCATTGTAAAGATAAGTGATAAAATGATATTTTTCCAATGGAACCACTATTACTGCTATTAAATTATTTTTTTGTTTTATTCATGTAACCCACAGATTAAAAGCGCTTATTTCTTTTAGAAAACACTTAACCTACATAAGAAAATATAAAAAAATAGAAATACCCCCACACACTCACAAAGAAATGAGTTTATGGCAGTATAAGCTGGACAACAGAGGGCGCTAGGGGGGCACAGCCCCACCCACCCAGTCAGCTTGATCAAGAAAAATAAAACAAATAAAACTTAAATTTTATAATTCAAATAATTTGAAATATATTATTATACTTATTAGATGTGCAAGATAAATATTTAATCTTAAATGACAAATAAAGCGTCTTCGTTGGATTGGTGCTCAAAAATCTTTGACCATAGACTTGTTAAAAGTTGTACATGCGGAGTAACTTCTCTGCAACGCATATGATTGAAAATTCGAGTCACGAAAGTTGGAGACTATCATTGGAGAGAGAGAGAAATGGTGAAAGAAAAATTCAATAAGAGAAGTCCCTTAAAGCAAACTTACCAGGAGGTGAAAGCATTTGGACCTCATGGGCCGAACATTAAAATTAATCAATAGTCCAAAGACAGATGGAGACGGTTCACTCAGTCCTTTTCTATGACCTGGTTTAGCTACAAGGCTTGGCTAACTGCATGCTGCAAGGCTAACACTTTATTCTGCCCTCCTTGCCTCCTTTTTCAAACGTCAGGATCTGACCCAGCATGGATAACGACAGGTAGGACTAATTTAAAGCACTTTTTAGAAAAGGAAAAGAAGCATGATAATCTGGGATTCACATAGAAAATAATAGTGTACTTTTTCTCATTTTGCATAGTTGCTCTTTAATAACCACCCTTCAGAAAACACGTTTTTATATTTTAAAAAAATATAAAGCTGACTAACAGCTTCTCCATTATTAAACTGGTACTTTATTTTCTTTTTAAACTTTTTTTTTTTAAGTTTGTGACACCAAAACACAGATTTGCCTTCACAAAACCACAGAAGAACTGCGTTCTGAATTTTCTCCCAGCACCTCTTTGGATCTCTGATCTCCTATCTCTGATTATTAAGCATGTCCCTGACATCGGCTTAGGCATCAACCTCTGCCTAGTTTCGTTTGCTCCACTCTGATCTCCTGCCTGTCCTCCGACCACCGATGCATCAGTGTCTGGGACTCCCTGTACGGCACCCGCTGCGCCGTGTTGGCAGCCAACCGGCTGGAACCAACCTCATCCACTAGGTTCAGACTGAACTATAAGACCAGGTTAGTGACTCACATGTTTATTATCATCCACTTCTAAAAAGTCTCCTCCTGCAGAGGTTCCTGCCTCTCCCGACGCTGCTCGCTTCAGTTTTCAATAAATGTTTTGAGAAATCAAGATGCCTGTGCACCTAGAACATTAGATCCTACTTTTCTGAGCTTGAGAATTAGTTACTCTATTATAAGTAATTTATTTTTTTTTCAACTTGAATTTTGTTAACATTAAATCAGCTCATTACTATAAAGAGTCGAGTTGCTAAGAGCAGTTATTTGATCTTTTATAATATAAAGTTTTTTTATTTGTTTTACCCAGTCTATTATGTGTCTTTGTTCATATAGCTAATCTTTACATTAACAACTTTTTTAACAGAAACAAATAACAACATAGGCCCCAATAATCACTCATAAGCATGCACATTATCAGACTAACCAATCAGCACTTCAGGGTGTATTTTTACCTAAATCTCATTGCAGTAAAGGTTTACTAAAGGCCCTTTTTCATTTGCTATTTGGTTTTTGTTACCTAAAAAAAAAAAAAAATGAAAATCAAGACAATCATCGTAAGAGACAGAGCTGCATATGGAACACATTCTAGATTTTCTTAAACCCTATAGACTCCTTTTCTAGGAACGCTTGGCTTGCAATTCCAGGCGAACACCTGAAAAGCCAGAATATGTAGAATGCTGCAGCAACCTTTTTCACCAGAGTGGTTGATGAACTTACAAAGAAAGCCACTTCAGTGCTCATTTATATTTAAGCACACACCGGGCAACACACTGTGTCTGCCTGGTCTTGAACATTATGGTGAATGCTCCTGTAAAGGGGCCAGAGTGCAGATGCATAATTCAGATGGCTACATGCTCACTAATAACATAAAACATATCTTAAACACGCCAAGAGTAGGAGAGCAGAAAACTGCAACTTTATAAAACTAAATATGCTTATTTGCAATTTACATATAAATTTAATGCAAATATAAGGATTGACCGACACCGACAGATACCCTCCACTATTGGTTTTTGAGGGCTTTATTTACAGAAATAAAAAAAGATATGTATTTTGCAAACCCATTCCTAATTACTTTCCGAGGCTAAACTATCTTAAAAAGCCCTAAGGATCAGAATTCTGCCGATTGAGATAAACAAATTTTTCTTATAAGTTCTTACTTAACAAATATTTTCGTCACACAACTGATCAGCTGTTTTGAGCAATCCCATTTGAGTCACACTTCTCTCACTATGCCTCTGGATTATATGTATCATCACTAGGTTAGTACAACTCTCCATTCTTTAGCACATTCATTAAAAACTCAGTCCATTACTGATCTGTGGTGTGTGCTAGCTTGCAGCCTCTTCTTCTGGTTTATTACAGCTAAGCGTGCATAATCTCTAACATTCCGCTCTCTCTGCTTTTTCTCATAGTAGCTTCATCTGGTCTGTTCCTGTTTGGCTGTGACTCCATCCTGGAGAGAAATATCAGCTGTGCTGCTGCCATCAACACATTTGTTTATAGATGCTGGAGATTGGCCTGTTTTTCAGTGTAGTCCTGTTTCTCTGACTGTGACTGGCTGGATGTGTTGTCTTCATCCTCTGACATGGGAGCTGGCTTGGGGCTCCCATTGAGATGACGTGTTGTGAATTATCACTATCTAAATAAACTGAATTGAATTTATTTGAAGTCTGAAAGAAACTGGAAGAAAGTCATATTTTGGAGAACTGGGAGCGTTCCATTGAAAAGTCAACTCACTATATATCCCCCAGGCTACATGAGGAAAAATCTTTATGAGAATACACACAGTAGCACAAATTAAGAATTTATATAATTAGGTGTATGTAATAAAAATCTAGAGGAATAAATAACTATTAGACACAAGACTTGCAAAGTAAACCCTGCATTTACACATACAAAACAGCAGCAATATAGCAGCAAAATACAGTTCAGTAGTCCAGCTAATTCTTGCCACGTAGCGTTTGGAAACAGAATACGTTTTGAAGCCTTTGCCACACCCAGGCAATTCCTCAACTTTGTGTGAATCATAACCACCATTACAACGGTTATAAAGTCTATTTTGATGATATTGGTGTAGCCAACTGACAATTTGATATTACAAAGGTTAATAAAGAATAATCCAAACAGTTTAAGATCCTTTTTTTTTTTTTTTTTTTTTACAGTAATCAGCAATCCTGAAGTGAGCATCCCCCTAAGATCAGACCCTGCAGTATTTGGAAAAACAGATCAAAACCCTCAGAGCTTCATCTCAGTGTCCACAGGACTGCCATAGGATGTTAAATGATGGGGTTTTAAACAGTGAAGTCCTCAATGCCTGAAACACTATGAATTGTTTGGAAAGGTTCCTAGGAAATCCCTTTATCTTTTCATGTAGGTTTGCAAATTTAATCTGGATGAACAATGGATCTTCTGGGATAACTTCCCTCAGACAGATGAGACCTGAGAAGTGATTGCACAGCACCATCCTTGGGAAAACTGTCCAGCTTATCTGAACAAATAACTTGTCCAAACTGTCCAACATGCTGAATATTGCCTGTTTTTTTCCCCCCTACATTTTTGCTCTGATCTGACAACCAAATAAGCAATGACAAATGAAAGCAAAGTGCTGTTGCAGCAGTTAGGATGACTGCATCATGCCCTGAAACTGTTAATTATGTGTGATAAACTTTTGTGCAACCCGAATCTGCTCTAACCTTTATGCTAAGAGACACTAATTTGCTTCTGGTAGAAGGTGCATCATTATCAAACAGGCATAATCACTACATTTGTTTTAAATCCTGTCTACAGCAGACTCAGTTGTTGTGCCTTCCTACTTTATATCTGTCATCAAGCCATTTAATAGTCATGTAATTAAATCATTGGTGATCACTTTTTTAAATTTATATCTTAGCATATAGTAATAATTCCTGAGGAACATGGAGAGGCTAAAATATGTCATGTATATAAATAAATGTCAATAAATGAAATTCCTTCTGTTTCTACATGACATTCTGGTTGTTTTTTGCTGCTATTTCTAATCATTCTGTTTCTCTCATGATCTTGGTCCTGCTGGCTGGATTTGGCTCTCTTCTATCTGCTTAGCTCCGCCCAGCGCTCATTGTCACTCATCAGATCCACCTGTTCCTGCTTTATATTTAAGCCGCCTGTTTCCATCCATCAGTGTCAGATTATTCGATCGGAGTTTGTGAAAGTTTTCTAGCTATCTGGGAGTTTCTGATTACCCGATCCTGTGTAGTTTTAGTCCCTGTACTTCTGGGTTTCGGTTGCCCCTTTTCTGCTCTTTTTTCAGACTATTACATGGATTCTGCCTGCTAACAACTTTGGACCTGTCTTCTGACCCCGGCCTGGATATCCCTTCGGCGCCTCTTTGGACTTCTGATCTTTTGGCCTGGAAACCTGCTGCTGCTTCAACTCTGCTCTTAGATTATCC